AAAGTAGAAGAAATGGTGTCTTACTTCTCTGTTCAAGCATTCACTCAGCTCATTGTCTTTCCAAGTTACAATGGTTGAAAATAGCTCATAAGAGGTTTTTTTTTGTTGGTCTGTCTTACTGGCTTTCACTTTTCATTATTTCTTTATACTTTTTAAGATTTTTACTTCACTTTTTTCCAGTTCTTCCCTTTTGATTTTCTCCTCTTGTGGTTGTCACTTTCTATCACCGTTTTTGGCATTTTTAGGATCTTTTCTCTTTCTTTTTCTTGAATTTTTTTTTCTCAATTCACACCAATTGTTGACCAATGTGCCAATTTTTGATTGGGTTGGCTCAACCTTCAGTTCAATGGTCATTAACAAATCAAAACCATATCCAGTTCCCGATTAGACTAGCTGAACTAGTCGATCTGATTTGGTTTTTAAAACCATGCTAACGATGAAGAGATAGTGAGAAAATGACAAGTTAATGAGGGAGATAATCCTTAATGTTGAGGGACAAAATTAATCCATAAATAAGTTTAGGGTGTCTAGTGACCATTTGGGTAAAGTTGAAAGGCAAAAATAACCATTAACATTTTTATAAAACATCTTTTCAATCCTCTAACTAACTTGCATTGGTGATGAGGAAGGAAAGCTTACTATGATGAAGAAAAAAAATTTCTTATATGCCTAGTTAGATGCATTGTGAGAAAAATGCTTTCTACCATCTGATTATTTCCATTTGAAAACAATTTGTCAAAAATTTAATTTAGAGTATATATATGCATATACATACATTCATACAGACACACTTATTGAAGAGGATAATTAAAAATGGGAAAATAATAATTAAAAACATGTAAAAACATTAATGACACTGGGAGACCTTAAAATATGAAATGTCAAAAAGGACCATAATTTTTATTTGTAATTAAAACATATTAAATTATTGAAATAACATGTTATTCATCAACTTGAGAAATGCTGGCTATGAATTTAAGGAATATTACTTGTGCATATATAGAAAGCCAATTGTGAATGAATAGATAATTTCATAAATATATTGTCACTTGGGAATTTAAAGAGTATCACTTGTGAATTTTTGAAAGTTACTTGTGAACATATAAAAAGTCATTTGTGAATGTATATTAAAAAATATGATAGAGTTTTTAAATTATTGATTTACAATTAAGACTATTCATACTTATTCACAACTGACATATTCATATGTAGTATTCCTAAAATTCACAACTTAATATCCCTTAATCACAAGTTATGTATGAATTCAAAAGACTATCTATTTATTCACAATTCAAATTTCATAAATTTACTATTAACCTTCCAAAAATTGACAAATTACTATTTTTTAATTCACAATAAATTTTATTTAAATTCATGAGTTACATTCCATTAGTTATTTTAATAATTATTTATTTTTAATTACAAATAAAGGCTATGGCCCTTCCCTTTGCAAAAAAAAAAAAAAAAAGACTATAGTCCTTTCATAGCATTTCAATAATTCAATGCCTCCAATTGTCATTAATGTCTTTACAACATCTCTAATTGTCATTTTAAAAAAAAAAATTACTATAGATTTCTTTGTTTTTTTTTTAGTACCAGCCCTTTAAAATAAAAAAAAATCTTATTTAAAGGATTGAAACTCTTATAAGTTACATTAACTTGTCATTATTTTAATTATAATCACTTCCCTGTAATTTTGACTAGCAAATTAGTTGTATAATGGCTGATTCACGTTTTGGTAACATTTAATAATTTCTTAACTGATTTTTTTTTAATTTAATAAAATACAGCTGTAAATCAATCACGTGGGTTGTAATCCCAAGGCCCACCATCGTGCGGCTCAAGAGCCTTGGAATGGCTGGTGAGGCAGGATCATTTTGTTACTTCACCTAACTCCTACTCATCCAATAATTAGTATGACATGTGCAAAAATGTTATAGGTGACGTCACTCAAATTCATCAATTCGATGTTAATATAAAAAAATATAAAACGTAAGGCAAATGACAATGACACCTACGGACTAAAATTCATGACACGTAAATATCGTGAAAGTTTAAAATTTAATTAATTAAGGACTTTGTCTCTTTTATTGAAATAAAAAAGTAATTAATAAAAATATCCTCATTTACATACTTCCTGTGTGTGTCTCTCTGTCTGTATATGTACATATAATATTTTTTAAAAATTTATTTTGTTTTTAAAAATGAGAAGTGTCATGATTTTTTAAGTAATTAAATAGTTTTGTCTTGTCTTAAAAAAAGGAGGGGATATTAATTGATACTTTACCATACACCACATTAATTAAAATTATTAGAAAAAATTAAAAAGTATATTGTAATTTAATGTAATCTTAATTAAATAATAAACTTTTATTAATATATGAGATTTGATTAAAATACTTTATCTAGAGATAAAAAGAGTATAAGTTAAGAATTTACGAAGTTAGATTAGAAAATCAAATGATAAATTAATATATATATATATATATATATTGTTCTTCTTCATTGTGTCCTACAAGGTAGGGATTGAAATGAGTTTAGATCAGCAGGATAGGTTAAGTTTCAGTTTTTTAAGCCTAAAACTTGAACATGGGCTGATCCTCAAATGGTTTGAATAAACCTAGCTTTATAATCAAATGATAAGTCCAGGGTCTCTTCAAAATGAAAGATTAAAAAAAAAATAGAGATGAAGAAAAATGAAAGAATTGCATAATGGGAACAAATATGAGATTATTATTGCTGTTATAAAAAATTATAGAAAATCTAAGAAAATGAGAAGAAAAATGTATAAGCAATCATGTTGTGATCTATTAGGTGCCAGTGGCCGAGCCAGGATTTGAAGTCAGTGATGCAACATAATTTAATTAACAAATTAATAATTTTTTAACAATAATATAATTACATTAAGGATAAAATTGTAATAATATAAGTAGATTACTTTTCATTTTTTAAAATATATATTAAATAGGTTGATATGAACTTTTATGTAAAATATATTCTTCATATCATTTATTTATTATTAAAATATTAGATATTTAATAATTTTTTAAGACCAAATTTTTTTATTTAATTTAGATGGTGCAAAATTTAAAGAATAGAGGATTTAAAGTTGTAAAATTTACATATATAACTTATAATTTTTTTCAGGGAGTGCAATTGCCAACCTTCACTAATGAGTAGCTCTGCGGTGCTGCTACTCTACTAATTGCCATATGCTCATGCAACTCTTCTACATTTTTAAGGGTAAATTATTACACTTATTTTCAAAATTTTATTTTCTCCACTATTCCCATACGTTAGAAGTGGGGGGTGGGTGGCTTTTATAGCCCTGAACTCTTCCCGTACGTTAGAGGTGGTTGATGGGCGGCTTTCACAGCCATTAACTCCTACCATTGTGAAATTTTTTTAACTTTTTTGAATTAGAATTAGAAATATTTATATTTAATGTTTAATTATATATTAAATATAATTATTTTTAATAAAAAATATTTATAAATAAAAAAAATATAGGCGTAAATAAAGACCTTAGTCTAAGATAGTTAAAGTTTAATTTGATTTTGCTTGAAAACCTATTTAAAAAGCTATTTTGTTATGCACTCTTTTACATAGGTTTAGAGGTTTTAAATTAAACCTATCAAGACTTAAAATATTATAAATGACATAAAATATATTATAATATAACACGTTTTTATATTTCTTATATATATATATATATATATATTCTCCGCCCTGGCATGCTTGTGTAATATTATAATAATACATAATTTGTTAAGCATGTCTGTTTTAAATGTCTGTTTGATTGACTTGGAGCTAGTCCTTAATTAAAAAGTTATGGCCTGTTTAAATAAATACTCCCTCTAGAGAACATCTTCTAAGAATATTTGAGTGGTTAATATAGGACAGATTATGTAATATTAATTACATTTTTTTTAATATTATAAAACACATTATGTGATATCAATTACGTTTTTTTAATATTATTCATATTTAAATTTATGACCTATAAGAAAAAAGTGACATTCAAATTTAAATTAAAATTTATTTTAATATGGATAAAATTAATTTTTTTATTTTTTTAAGTTAATAATTTAACAACATCTTTTTATTTTTTTAAAAAATAGTTAAATGTATTTTATAATAAAAATAGAATGGAGCACTTGAGAAGCAAGGTTAAGTCTCGACACTCTGGCAAATCTAAACAAGCATGCTCTCCCCCCCACCACAATCATTCCTCTTCCTTGAAAAAAATCCTTCCACATGCCGAATCCCAAGAAAATTAAATTTTCTCTTTAATAATATTGATGTGAAATATCCGGGCCTTTCGTCTAAGAAATTTATTTATCCTCTCCCATCATAATATAATAACCTCTTCATCTTAAATTATAAAATATTTTAAATTAAATTTTATATATTAATAAATTTCATTAAATACATTTAATAATTTTAAATTTTTAAAATAAAAATATAAATTTTAAAAATATCTAACATTTAATATATTAAAAAAAAGATGAAAATTAATTATAGTGAGAGAAATGATAATATTAAAATTAATATATTTAATAAAATTTTAATCTATTTAAATTTTTTAATATTTTAAAATAAATAAATTCATTTAAAAAAATTTTATAATTTAAAACAGAAAGAATATAAGATATTTTTAAAAAATTCCGTTTAATTCAAAATTAAAGATAATAGGTAATTTTTTATAATTATTTTTAACTATATTTTTATTTTATTTATTATTTTTAAAAAATAATGTATTAAAATTTTAGTTATCATTATTAAAATATTTATATAAAATATTTAGTTAAAATGAAATTAAAAAAATGTAATTTTTTTAAAAAAATTAATAATTTAACTAATTTTGTTGAGAATTATAAACTAGTTGTCAATATTTTATATTTTAATAAAAAAAAGTATTATTCATCTCCTGCCACCAAAAAGATCTATTTAACGTCCTGGCACCATATTGCTTCGTCTTCTATACCATCCAACAGAGATCCTGAGATCCACAGATCCACACCCACACACACACACACACACACACACACTCTCTCTCTCTCTCTCTCTCTCTCTCTCTCTCTCTCTCTCTCTCTCTCTCTCTCTGTCTTTCTCTCAACACTTTCTCTCTCTATCTATCTCCCTCAAGAGATTCACAGAAATTAAGCCCTGCAACTCAGATTTCAGACTATACTCGGCCAACACAACACAAAGATCATTTTCCGAGAAGAGACAACAAACTGTTCCAGGTTCAGAAATCTTTCATATCCGCCCTCCTTGTTTTTTTCTTTTCCTTTTCTTTTTTTGTTCTTTTGTTTTTGAAGAAATGTAGAAACTTAGTTTTACCTAAGAAATGTAGAAACTTTTTACTGGGTTTTATGTTATTTCTTCCTATTGCATCTATGCTCTTTTTTCTCTGTTTGTTTTTGTTTCTCTTTTTCTTCTTCTTTGATGATCCATTTTTACATTCTATAGCGTTTACTATGGGACTGGAAACCCTTAAAATTACTGTGAGGGATTTCTTTGTATCTATTGTTAGCTCAGCTGCTGCCAAAATAATATTAAGTTTTTAATTTTTAATGGAAAAAATTAAACTGACTATTAGTTAACTTAAAATATATGAAATAAACAATATTTTATCAAATAAATAGAAAAATAAAATGAGAGAGAGATTAATGTAAGTTGGATCTCTCAATAGCAATATGTCTGAGGTTGAGAAAATTAAACACAATTAGAAGAAACGTTTACAAAGCGGAACAGAACTTTGATGAAATTTATTAAATAAGGTATAATTAGGGGAAAAACAGTTAACCAAATCTTAACTTTCTAATTTTTTTTTTTTTAAAGATAAAAAGTCTACACAAATGATGTAATGTATGACTTTTATTTTCCCCCCCTGTTTTTCAGAAAAGCAGGGACTACCAGCTATATAGTGGTAGCGGTAGTGGATAATAATCTTCGTTCTTTTCAAGTTAACCATTATTAGTCCTTTTGCTTCTGATAAATATGCAAACTCAGGTACTGAACAATTCCCATGTGAATTGGCCCAAAAAAAAAAAAAAACAGTTCCCACGTGTCTCTACTCTTCATCTTCTTCCTCCTTTCTCCATTTTTCATCTTTACTATCTCAGGGAAGCTTGACCTTGCCAAGCTAAGAGATGCAGAGAGGAACAGAGGAGGAATATGTGAAGCTGCCAGCTGTTGCAAATAGCCTCTATTATTCATCATTATATTGTCTTCTTTGTTCTTTCTTCATCTTCGGCTTCCTCGTCTTTTGCCATCTTCTAGTCTTCCTTTTCGGCTGTTCTTTTTTTTTTTTTTTTAACTGTACTTCTCTCTTCTTCATCTCCTATCTTTTAATTTTTCCTTTCCTTTTTCAGTCTTCTTCTTCTTCCTTCTTCTTCTTCTTCTTCTTTTCTTTTTCTTTGTTTGTTTTTTTCTCCCCCTCTTCTTGTCTGGCAAAACTCGTGAACCGGCCGGTTTTACTTACTAGGAACAATTATACTCAAGCACGGCTCAAGAAAGTTACTCTTGAGCGGTCCTTGTATGCGATTTCCTCCACCTATTTGCGCCGGGATGGAGTCAGGATTTAATAATAAAGAGAGATGAAAATAAAAGGCTTACTTTTTTCAGAATATAAGTTATTTTTTAAAAGATTTCTTTAATTTAAAATATTGACAATTAGACAGGTATTATATGTTTTTTTAATTATATTCTTATTTTATTGAGTATTTAATGATAATATTTTAAATAAATCAAATATTATATTTATTATACTTGAGCGCAGTTGAAAAAATATGAAAAATTTTAAGAAATCAAGATTTTAACCACTTTTTTAAAAGTATAAATTAATTAATAATGACAAATGTTATGATCTAGAGTATATATTACCAAGATTTCATAAACTTTGGGGATATGTAATCTCTATATAATTCTAAGAAAAATTTAAAAATTAGGGGACCATGATCCCCTGCTGACCCCTCCTTACCTTCGTCCCTGCTTGCCTTGGTCTGTTGACTGATTCCCAATGTCCTTAACTCAATTGGCTTCTCCTGGATAGGGCTATAGGCTAGTTCCTACTTCCTAGACCGGTAGGTTCTCATCTGGGTTTTACATTGTTAATTCGAAATAACTCTATCGTTGAAGAAAATATCCTCGGACAGGATATATTATCCATTGTGATTTAATGATTATTTTATATTCATTAATTTTTATTAAGATATTCATTAGTTATTATTTCCCTCTCACACAATTTGCAAGTTTTTTTTTAAATTTTATAAGTTAACTTTTACACATTTTCTAAAAATTTATAACTTAACTACTGTATTTGTTATTTTTAAGTAAACAAGTATTTTATATTAATTATAAAATTTTTGAAGGAGAAGTTACAAATTTTGGAGAAAAACTTACAAATTATCACATTATTTGAAGAACTTAATTGATATTACTTTTTTTTATAAGGTACTTATTCATAATTTTATGAATCCATTTTTTTAATAATTAAGATTATTTTCTATAATTTTTTGTGTCAACCAACACTTTAACTTTTTTAACAATAAAGTATCTGGTACATCATTTTTAAATGTTAAAGAAAAAAATTATACCATATATAAAATTAAAATATTAGATATTCTTGAATAAATAATTGAGGCAAAAATACATTTTAACTCACTTTTTAAATAAAATAAAAAGTCTAGACAACCATGTAGCAACGAAGTAGAAGGTCCAACATAATGCAATGGTCTAGAGTATAAACCCAATATGATGAAATGTACGTTTTTTTTTTTGTGCCATGTAGGACCAGCTACATGGACATCGGATAATGATATTCTTTCTTCTTTAGTTGGATAATGATTAAAGTTGATAATTTGAGTCGAGTCTAATGGATTCGCTTAAACTCGCCTGAAAAAAAATTAAGGTCAGACTTAAAAAAATATACTTTTTAATGTTCAGATCGGGTTTGGACTTGACCCAAATATTCGAATAAAAAAATTTTATTTTTATAAAATATATTAAATATAATAAATATTAATTAATTAATTAAGTTTTAGATTATTTTATACTAAAATACTATATATTTGAGTCCTATACATCATTTAAGTATCAAAAAATATATTTTATATTTTTTATAAAAAAAATAATTAATTTTAAAGTGAAAAAATTAATTAAAAATGATTTTAAAAATAAAAATTCAGGTACTCGGGCCGCTCGAAACTTGAAGGAATTTGGGTCGGGTTTAGCTATTCGGGCTTTTCAAGGAGTTGGCCTTGTTTAGGTTCGGGCCTGTTTGGGTTGGGTTTATTCGGGCCAAGCCCGAATAGCCTAGCCTGCTCGAATTCTCAGCTTTAATAATAATCTTCTAGTTACTCTTTTCATCTAAAAAATGTAAGGTATTTTTTAAAGAGTTAGACGTTTAAAAATATAAGGCACTTTTAATTTTTTGAAGTGTAATAATTTTTTTTTAAAAGTGCCCTTATTGATAATGACTTTATATTTATTGTAAAGTGTTTAATAGAGATAAATATAAAAAATAAAATTAATTAAAAATAAATCATTATTTTATTAAAAATAAATTTTAATTAAAAATATTTATATTTTTATGGAGGAATAACTTTCATTCCATGAGTCTTTTGCTTCGGACCAGGGGTCTCTCCCTTTCTTTTTCTTTCTTTTCCTCTACTTCTCTCATCTCCACCATTCAATTTTTTTAAATAAAAAAATTAATAAATAATGAAAACGAAAAAAATAAAAAAAAATGAAGGAAAAAAAAAAGTGAAGAGATCTCACTTCCTTTTACTTCTGCACTTGCAGAAGACTCCAAAGCACTCAACAGCTCCCTCGTTAAATATAGTTGTAATAATCACACGCCGATGTCTCCATTGAGGTAGGCCATGTAGTACTGAGGAGTGTGCATGTGAAGCTGCTGTTGCCAAGTGTCTCTATACCACTGTTCATCCTTGTCTTGTCTTCTTTTTTGTTCTTTCTTCATGCTCTATCTTTTCCATTCCTTCTTTGGAGTCTTCTTGCTTTTTTTTCTCTGGTTGACTCAGCTGCTTTTACTGGTTTATCCTGGTTTGTTGACTGTTCCCCATGCACCTCCAATTCCTTGGCCAGTTTTGGACTGACAGGTTCCGGTAGGAACCGGTTTCGCTGCTGAGCACGATGGTGCTCATCATCCACCAAAATTTAAACCATTTAATTTGGATGATTCAAATTTTTTTAATTTTAATTTTATATTTTATAAAAATAAAATTTATAATTTTTTTATAAATATATTCACCATCAATCTGGACAGTATTGATTCAATCTAAAATTTTGAGTAATTCAATTTAATATTATAATTTTCATAAACTGACTATTTAAATGTACTCTGGACAATACGGATTTAATATTAAATTTTTTTAATAATTTTTTATCTTATTACATTTTTAATATTATTATTTTAATAAATATACAATTAAAATAAAAATAAAAACTTTAAATCTAGACCTTATAGATAAAAGTTTAATATTAAATTTAGACTGTCCAGAATACATTTAGATAGTTAATTTATAGAAATTATAATATTAAATTGAATCATTTAAATTAAATCAGAACTATACAAATTGATGATGAATATATTTATAAAAAAATTATAAATTTTATTTTTATAAAATTAAAATTAAAATTAAAATTAAAAAAATTTGGACCATCCAAATTAAAATCTGGATGGTCCAGATTTTGGTGGATGATGAGCACCACGGTGCTCAGCAAGCTACTAAGCACCGAAACCGGTTCCGGTTTTGATATGGGTTTTAAGTTACTGTATATTCCAATAACTCTGTTCTTGTTGCCAAAATAATAATAATAATAACAATAAAATAACTCTATCTTTGAACAAAATATCCTCACCTCCTCCTTTTTTCTCCCTCTCTCCTAATCTATGTGAACTACTTTTGTCCTATTTTATAAGATATTTTGTTTATAAAGAATAAATTTAGATGAGTTAGGTTGTGATTATCAAAGTAAGAGTATGCTTTTAGGTTCAACGAGTACCTACAAAAATATATACAAAGTACCCATCAATAAAGTTATTACATCGGCAATTGAATTTTAAACCCATAACCTTATGGATTATATGATCAAAATTCTTGCAACTAGACCAACCTTTGTTAGCCTTATAAGACATGTTTTGATAAGAATATTGCGAATACCAATGAAATCGATTAGATAAAACTTGAAATTTTAATTTTTCTATGAACATCAAAATACACCTTTCATTTAGTAAGAGAGACAGCGGAACATATATATTTAAGTAGTGTAACAATTAGACGTAATTTTGAAATGATTTTCATTAGTGAATCACTTTTTTTTTTCAAAGCATCTTACATGACAACAAATGACTACCAAAAAAAAAAAACAATTGTGGAGCAGATGGAGTACTTATTTAGCTCCTACATTTATGAGTAGAGTTTATATATATATATATATATATATAACGGCTTTCTTCTTCTGTCATTTGGCTAATAGCAGGTTGGGATTCAATATTCAATGGGATCTAATATAAACATCTCCGGTTCATCAAATCTTAAGTATGAGATAGTGAAAGAAATTATGATCGATATAAAAACTGAACCGGAAGATCCGATGATGAACGCAAGCAAGTGTAACAACATCTACAGAGTCCCATGCAATCTTCGGAAGCTGAATAAGGATGCCTACACTCCTCAGTTGGTTTCAATAGGACCACTTCACTATGGTCGGAAAAAGCTAAGACCAATGCAAACGCACAAACTTCACTACTTGAATCTCTTCATCGAGGAACGTCTCAAGGGCAAAATCGAAGCGATGGACAAGTTCAAGGACTTCCTTAAAGAAAAGGAACGAAAAATACGCCAATGCTATGCAAAAAAGCTGTTCTGCGGGAAAAAGTTGGTGGACTTGGTACTGTTAAATTTTTTATACTTTATATTAAATATGTTCTAAAATAGTCTATTTCACCAAAATAGCTAAAGTCATTTGGTTTGACATATCCTAAGTTTTATACATTTTTTGATCTATCTTCTAATTCTAGATATGGGAATTCATTTATCTTTAATAATCCATCTACTACTTTTTTCTTCAATTTTCTTATTCTTGTAGTCTCAAAAGCTTTAAATTTATTCAATCTTCTTCTTCTTTTTCTCTTTCAACTTTTTTTTTTTCTCTCTCACCAATATGTTAAATTCTTTATATTATATACACTTAAGGATACTCTATTTTACCAAAATAGTTTAAGCTATTTGATTAAATACATTTTAAATTTTATCTTTTCATAATCTATTTTCTAATTTTTAGACGTAAGACTTATTTTATATCTAACAGGTACTACTGGATTCTGTATTCATCATGGAACTATTTCTGAGGATTCAGAGGAGAAGAAAAGAAGAGGGTGATGATAATAATGTTGATGTACCAAAACAAACATGTTTATCATGTTGCTGTACCGAAATCGGATGTGATGGTAATCATGGTGCAGTATCGAAACAAACAAGTTCAGATGATGATGATGTTATACTGAAACAAACTTGGCTGAACAAGAGTATCCAGAGAGACTTGCTTCTGCTTGAAAACCAGATTCCATTGTTCATCTTGGAAGAGCTATACAGCTCTGTTGTCCCTGAGACTGATAAGCAGCGTGACAAATTCATTGAGGTCGCCTACGATTACTTCGAGTGTTTTCATCCTTATGAAAAAATCAAAGATGAAAAACAAGATTCAGATCATCCCAATCCCTCAGGAAACAACAATAATTTAGATTCTGATTCGCAAAAGAAGCCCTCATTCAGGTTTGAACGACTGAAGAAGAACTGGAGAAATGATCCTGCACATTTCACTGATTTGATAAGGTACGTACTTCTATTATCTCCAAAAGCACTATATTAATTTTCAATAATAATCATAACATTCAATTGCTGTTTATTATGCATACAATTAATTTTTTTTAAAAAAAAGGAATAGTGATTTTGGCTGTATGATACTTACATATTGTTACATTCCTATTATTATAATTAGATCTAGAATATTTTGTATAGTTTCTTTAAAGGTAGATGAGAAAATTACTTTTTGAATTTTAGGTTTAATAGCACCATAGATATTCGTATATTATGAAAATTATTTTTTTTAACTTTTGAAAATGGTGGAATCTGGCTCCTGCTATTAATAAAAATTAACTTTAACTGTTAGTTGATCAAAAAATAACAGAAAAGGACATCAAAAATTACAAAAAAAGACCAAAAAAATGATAAAAAAGAACCAACATTTTTTGGGGTTCTTTTCTATAATCTTTGAGATTCTCATTGTAATTTTTGGGTTTTTGTTTGTAATTTTTGAGATCTTTTTCTGCCATTTTTTGATTAACTGACGATCAAAGTTGTTAATGGCAGAGGCCAGATTGCACATTTTTTTAAAAGTTAAGTGAATAATTTGCACTTGCACATTAAATGAGTAAAGGGTTCATGGTGATATTGGACTTAAAGTTCATGAAGTGATTTCCTTATTTACCATTTCTTTGATAATTTAATCTTTATGGTTTAAAAATTTATAAATAAGTTCAGGTTTTATATGGATGGCTTTTCTTCATTTACATTTCCCTCTGTTTCCCTATTGTGCATGACACATCTCAACCATTAGATCAAATTTTAAACAAGTTAGATTTAATATTTACAAAATATCTTTTTAATAATTTCACTAAAGTCTTGAACAATTCAAATCATGTTTCAGCAGGTTGGAATTATTTCTTTATTTGTTATAATTTTATATTTTAATAATAGTTTTATAAAATACAAAATTCAGACGGTTTAATATTTGATCAGATGTGTCATTTAGATAAAGTATAGGGAAAAACTAAATAAAAAGAAGCTTCCAGGTTGCTTATTAAAAAAAAAACAAAGAAAAGAAAGAAAGGGGGGAAAAAAAAGAAGCTTGCAGGTTTTATAACACATGACCTGCCCTTGGGAACATTGATGAAAATTTAATGGCAGAATCTAAATAAATAACAACTTCATTAATTATAAATTTTGGGAACGAAGGTGCAGACAAAAAATTAAGTAAAATTATTAAGAGAACTAATTGATACATATGCCATATTGATATGACAAATAGTAATAATAACAACAAACTGACAAATTCTTGCAAGGATTTTATTTGACCAGGTACTTTTACCTTTCTAAGGAAGTGGCTAGTCCTGAAAAAGTGTCGTCCTCTTGTGTTTTGAGGACTGCAACCAAGTTGCGGGAATCTGGAATAAGCTTTGAGAAAGTCACTGATCGATCCTTAGTTGACATAAAGTTGGAGAAAGTTAAAATCTTGAGTTGGTTTCTGTGCTTGGGTTGTCTACCAAAATCCTCGTACTTCAAAGCTCGTTTGCAAATCCCACAGTTAAAAGTGGATGACACAACAGAATGTGTTCTAAGAAACCTCATAGCCTTTGAGCAGTGTCACTATTCGGATCAACCTTACATCTGCAACTATGTCTCTCTCATTGACTCTCTCATTCACACCAAAGATGATGTTGAATTGCTGGTTGAGAAGGAAGTCATTGTCCATGAACTTGGGAGTGACACGGAAGTGGCGACTCTGGTGAACAGTCTCTGCAAACATGTTGTGGCGGACAAGACATGCTATAGAAAGATTATAGATGAGATGAATAAACAATACCAGAATGAATGGTATCGTACTATGGCTTCATTGAGGTTGGTATACTTCAAAGACGCTTGGAGAGCAAGTTCTACTTTGGTTGGAATTGCTGTCCTTGTATTCACAATTTTCAACTTTTGCCGAGTTGTCAAATTGGTCCTCGAGCTCGATCAAAGGCGACCTAATTGATTAGTCGTGATGTAGCATGGCATCTTTGAACTAAAATGACAGTATCATGTGATAAATAACGTGAGAGGATCTTCATGGAGCCTTTTTCAACGATTTCTTAGACGAGGTTGTCTTCTTGCTGGTGTTTTGTTCAGAGTTTGGTGAATGATATGTAATCTTAGTAATATATAGTGGATATGTCTAAATCTGAATGAAAAAGTTCAGGAGTGCGTCTTCAATATCTGTTGTATTAATAAAGCATTCATGGTGCTAAGCTACTTTACTTCTGTGAGATTTCTTATTGACCTGGATTCTAGTTGTCAATGGTTATGCTAGTAGTATCATCATTATGAGCAAGGATAAGACAGTATTTTAACATTTTATTTATAGCTGTGTTTATCCACTTTTTTGTTTCATAGTTTCTCTTCAGATGCAGCCTCTTCTATGGAGTTCTGATTCATTATTGACAAATATTTTCATGCGGGTATTTCTTTCCTTTAATTAAACTTAAAGATAAAAAACTTTAAAATTTTTAGAAGGATTTACAAGTCTTTATTTGGTTTTGGGACGATACGTAAGGTGTAAAAGCTTATTCTTCATAAATTTGCAACTAATTGAAAGCTCGAATTTTGGCCCTTGTGGATCTGGAAGTCTTGGAAGGACATTAAGATGTGTCATTGATGCGCCTCAAAAATGCAAATGCTCCCGCTAGTGCATGGGCCTAAAAGGGATGGAACCAGTCTTCAGGTTGAGGGGAGCCAATTTTTGTTAATATATATATATATATATATATGTATGTATATATGTATGTATGTATGTATGCATATACTCCTTCTATTAAAATATATAAGATATATTTAATCAAATCATACCTTTAAATAAATTGACACTGTGAACACTGTATTTTGTCCAGACATTTTCTAAATTTAACAAAAATAAAAATAAGTAACCAAAAAAATATAAAAATGCAAAATAAAATTTAATCCTTTTAAGATTATATTTTCAAAACAAAAAAATCTAATTTAATTGATAGGGCTTAATTTTATCTTTTTGATTAGGATTTTATTTCTTTTAGCTCATTAAAATAAAAAAAATTTATTTAAATCTTTTAAAATCTCTCCCAAATTATCTCAAATATTTAAAAAAATAATTAAGTATCAAGGGAATTAACTTTTCTATCCTTAAATCTTATTTTTCATTAAAATTAAAAATATAACCTTAATCTAAAAAAAAAGAAGACATTAATTCAAAAATATATATATAAGGCTGTGGTGAAACGCACAGCCTTTCACCACAGCTAACAGCAGACGTCTTCAGTGCTGATCAGGGAGGAAAGAAAACAGAAACACGAGCAGAAACACACAACAGTTACGCAGAAGCATACCAGAGAAGCAAGCACAGAACAAAAAAAAAAAAACAGAAAAGAGAGCCAGACGTGCACGAAGACAGCAAAAGGAACAGGAAGTAGAACACAGCCAGATGCAGACATGAATGCACACATACTTTCGGCCATGCAGCAGAAACAGTAGAAACAGAAACACGAAACACCAGTAAAAGAACACGTGCAGCAGGAAAAGATAGAGCCAGAGAATATAGCACCAACACACATGAAACTCACGTAAAGAAAACTAGAATGCAAATATGAGCAGAAGCATGCAGAAACGAAAACACAAAAATGCAGAAAGTAAATACAGAACAAAAAGAAAAGCCAGACACATGCAGACAAAATAGAAACACGCAGCAATACACATGCAGAAGCACAGAAGGTAGAAGGAACACACACAGAAAAAAAAGAGACGATGTACACAGAAAATGCACAGAAAGGAAACAGAAAAGTGCACGCAAACACAAAGGAGACAGAGCAGTGAGCACACACGTAAACACAGTAGCAGAAAAAACAAGATACACAGCTACGCATGCACAGGAAAAACGGCAAAAAAACAGAGCAGAGAAAGAGCAGCAGAAAAGGAGAGAAAGAGGAAGCCGAGAGGGAAAGACTGAGAGTATAAAAGAGTGTCCAGACTAGGAGAGGAGGGGGGACAAAAAATGTTGAAAAACAGAGCAAGAAAAGAAGAAAAAAAACCTGAGGACGGTGACTGAGAAGAGAGGACCGAAGAACGTGATAACAGAGAAAGAGAGACCGAAAGTCGTGAGAAAGAGGCTGAGGAGGAAGGAACTGACTTGCTGGAAAAAAGATAGAAGAAACCAGGACAGAAATGCAGAAAACAGAGCACGAAAGAACATAAGAGGAGAGGAAAAGGAGACCGAGGAGAGTTCAAAAAATAGAGACAAGAGAGGAGGTGACGGTGGAGCTTCTTTTTTTCTGGAAAAGCTAAGAGGGAGAAGGAGCTATTCTGGCTGGAGGAAACCGAGAAGGAGAGGACCGAAGGACGTGAAACAGGGACTGAAAGAGAAGGAGCCATTCTGGCAAGCTGAGGAGACGGACGGAGAAGAGAGAGAGCTCGAAAAAACAGAGACTGTCATCCATAAGCAGAAAAAATAGAAACCAAGGGAGAAGAAACAGATACGTCCGACAAAGAAAGAGAGTCCGAGCTTTCTAAAAAACAAAGAAATCGAGAGAAGGAAGGAAACCGGGAAGAGACGGAGAGACAGAGTTCTTCTGGTTCAAAACGGTAAATGTTTTGTTATGTATTGTGCAGATTTTAGTCACGTAGTGATTTTCTCTCCCATGCTCTCTTATCTAGTTGCCATGAATAATTTAATTTTGACCTGATCTTTGTGATGTTTTGACAAAATAAAAATAAAAAAAATAATAAATAAATAAAGTGATTTTTTTAAAAAAAAAAGTAGAGAAGAGGGATGGAGAAATTATAAATAAAGTTTTGCTTGCTAGCCTGATATAATTATAGGCATATTCTGATTATAACTTTTCCTCAAACGATATATAAAAAATGTTTTCTGTGGTCATTAGGCTAAATTTTGGAATTGAATTTTTAAATATGTTATAGTATGAAAGAGGATATAAATGGGTGGTGTCATGGCTTTGACCCTTGTACCAGCAGAGGCTTTTGTTTGTTTATAACATCCCTTCTTTATTTGTATGCTCATTACGTTGCTAGAAGAGAGTTCCATTTTTAGCTATTTTGAACTTCATAATTGAAATCCTACAAAAAATAAGAGAGTATATATTTGTTACTTATTTGTCGTAAGGAGTTTTAAGAATTTTTGCAGGCATCTAGAATGATCTCATATCGTGTAAATTAATAGGATTTCGCAGGTATAGAGATCCAATTTATATTAAGCACTCAAGGGTTTTAATGACCCACCATAAAAATTAACTATCTTTTCATAATCTAAAAACAAATTTATGTAAGTTCCATGTAAGATTACGAGAATCTTTGTAGGGACTTAAATTAATCACATTATCGTGTGGGATAATAAATTCTCGCAGATATAGTGATTATCCATTTTTATAATAAATAAATAATTTTTGTAAATAATCATATAATATACAATTTAAGAAACTTAATTAACCAAATTAATATATTTAAATTGTAACCATATTTACCAATTATATCTTTAGGTCATGTGAGATTTTTGAATCTCCGTAGGCTTCTAAAATCATCGTATTATCGTGTGAGTCAATAAGACTCTGCAGATATAACGATTTAGTTTTTAAAATATATATACATATATATTATATAATTAATTAAATCAATTAATTAAATTTAATTCCTGTATCGTGTGAGATTTTAGAATCTCCGTAGATATTTAGGATAATCATATTACCGTATAAGTCAATAAGGCTTTGCAGGTATGATGATTAAAATTCTTCAAAACATGTATATACACACTTAAAATATATTTTTAATACTTAAAATATACATAAGAATAAATAAATAAATTAAATTGCCAAACTCTTCTATCGTGTGAGATTTCGAAATCTCTGCAGATATTTAGAGCAATTGCATTACCGTATAAATTAATAAGGTTCTGCAGGTACTGCAATTAAATTCCCAATCACAAAATAAAAAAATAATTTTTAAACCATTTTCTTTTCTTTAACTCAAAATTCAAAAATTGAGAAAATAATTAAAATTAAATTACTTTTTGCAATTTAAAACACACATCAAAATTTCAGAAATTGTTTTATTTGCAAAAGGGTGAATTATTTCTAATTAATTTTTCTTCAAAAAATATTTTCACTAATAATTTTTAAGCCCGAACTACGTGGACTTTGATCCCCATCACAGGGTACGTAGGCCTCAGAGTTAGATTCTGAGTCAAGTCCGTCCTCCCTCGTAAATAAATAAACATTTTTCACTCAATTACAATCATTTTTATATCAGACACATGAATATAAAAGAGATAATTAAAATAATTTTAAAACCATATTAATAGAGCACAACAAACTTCAGGTAACCGTTCTCATGAACAGGTGTTGTGGGGTGCCTAACACCTTCCCCACACTCAACCGACTCCCGAACCTATTCTCTAATTTCGCAGATCACCCTTATCCTCCTTTTAATTGGTTTCCTGAGATTTACCTCAAAATCTTGGTGGCGACTCCTCATTCGATCCGGTTCCCGCCGCGAAGGCCGGGACCTCTGCTCGCGTGCCGTCCACGTCGCATTTTTCCGGGTGCGACAGTTGGCGACTCCACTGGGGACAATATGAGAGTCAAGCCTGTATAAATTTGTTGAGCTCAAAATATAATATGGTTTTTCTTTTATTATTATTATCCCTTTTAATTTGTGTGGGCTTTTTCCCTTTCTTTTCCTTTTTTTTCTTTCCCTCTCTTTTTTGATTCTTATAACATGTCTTAGGATAGATAACATGCGGAATAAACCTTAAGATAGATGACTTTTATTTGTACATATATTTGTTTCTCTATTTGATCTGATTAAAAGTTGGGAGTTGGGTAGCATATGAGAATAAGATAATATGCTTGCATGCTCTCATCACACACTATACACTTACACAATTTGACACACACATATTTTGGGCCCTATACTCGGGTCTGTGAGTACCATAGGATAGTAGAGGTTAGTAGTGGTTTCCCTGTGGAGCTTTTGAACTCTCGGAGGTTACCATGAATACCTCACCCAAGCTGTTACTTGCTTAGTAAATTTAGTCCCTGTAGAGCTCATGTTCTCAGAGGGCTACAATTATTAAGTAAGGTCTTCACCTTTGTGTGAGGGCATCTTGGGAGCCTTTTAGGAATATACATCTACCCGTGAATTACACGTTTCAGACAACAGCTAGTAGCCAACCATTCTAGTGAGCACCCGATTATGAACTTAAGTCTCCTTGAATAGGACACAGGATGAGAGTATTGATCTTTTATTGCATCATTGTCATAGCATGTCATCATAAAGTATTCGCATTTTTATTTTATAAAAAAAAACCACAAATTAAATAATTTCTCTTGTCATTGAGTTATTTCATTTTTAAAGTTGAGACTTTAGCCATGTGTCAGTTTTAGCTGCACGTAGGCTAATTAATCCCTTTCTCCCTATGGGGCAATAAGCACATTGAGGAGAGAATGGATTTTCTCCTTGCATATCTATTATCAAAATCATTTTTACCATTTTTTTTCTCTTTTCTCAAAAATAAGATTGTAAGGCTAAACCTTTCAACATTAATCATGTAGAGGATTTAACCCTCTCGTCCATTAATTGTTTACTCCATCTCCCTATGGTGCAATAAGTGTCTAGAGGAGAGGGTTTTCAAAAAAAAGGAGTCAGATAGCTTGCTAAAATTATGAGAATTGTATATTATTAACTTTTGTTTTGATTAACAGGAACTGTGAGTTATCCAGAATCTTTGTGAAATTGGCATAAGGGATAAATGGCACTCGAAGGTAGTACAAATCTAAGTCACACTGGAAAGTTATATCAGGGAAAAGGGATCAAATTATCTGTAAAAGTTGAGCCGCTGGAAACCTTAATTGAGTTGAGCCGTCATATCAAAGGGAAGATTATGCAAGATTTTAAAAGGAAATATGGAAATATCTTGGATCTTCTGTCAGTCACAATACATAATGATGCAATAATGGAATTAAGCCAATATTGGGATGCCTCGTTAAGATGTTTCACATTTCAAGACTTCCAAATGGCACCGACTTTAGAAGAATATGGAGAAATTTTGAGAATGCCCCTTAAGGAGAACATGGCAGTATATCTTTATCCTGGGTATTTACCATCTCGAGGTACGATAGCGAAAATTTTGGAAATTCCTAAGGAAAAGGTACGAATGGTTTGCCCAAGACAAATAGAGGGAGTCTCAAGAGCTGACGTAGAAGCCCACTTGAAAGTTTTGGCAGGAAAAGAGGCTTGGGTTATGTTTTGTAGAGTCTTTGCCTTATGCATATATGGAATAATCCTGTTTCCATCATCAATTGGCATAATTGATTTAGGAGCCATTGGTGTATTCCAAATGATGGAATACTATAACGTGAATCCGGTACCAGCAATCTTGGCAGAAACATACTTGACCTTAACTCAATGTCATAATAAAAGGAAAGGAAAGATCAATTGTTGTATTGCTTTATTGGATTTATGGATGCTTGGTCACCTTTATGGAAAGACGCTTCCTTTCAGAAAGAAGAACGACTCAGACAGTAATCCACTCATGTCTTTTAAAGACCAATTCATGATTGACGGAATGAGCTACATGGATTGGAAAAGAACCTTCTCAGAACTTAAAGAAAGTTCTATCTTATGGAAACTAGACTGGTGGTGGAAAGAGGAGATTATTTACCATTGTGGTGACTTTTCGAATGTGCCTTTAATGGGACCCAGAGGGTGTATCAACTATAACCCTTCCTTAGCGTTAAGGCAACTGGCCTATAAGCAAAATGTTCCTTCTAAGAAAGAGGTGCAGGAGTTATACTTTCTACATAAGGAGGATGGGACAAAGTTATCAAACTAGAATGTCAAAGAAGCATGGCAAAAGATAGGGTACAGAGGGAAGATTGAGCTAGGAATACGTGTAGTAAACTCAAGTCCAGAATATACTACTTGGCTGAAGAGTATGATTCAAGGAGAAAACCCTTTATTCTATCCTCAAAATCCCTTATTAGGCAATGACTTGAAAGAGATCAATGGGCGACTGGTTGAATGCTTGAAGATGAAGGAAAATGAGTTACAAGAGCTTGCTAGTTCAGAGACCAAGAATAAGGAAGAATTGGAAAAATACCAAAATGAATGCATTGAGTTACGGAGGAAGCTAGCAAAGGAAAGAGAAGGGCATAACCTTGAAGAAACACCTGAGACTAAGAAATTGAAAAAGGAAAATGCCAAACTGAAAAGGGAAGTGCAAACTAGTGAAAACAAAGTTCAGAGTACTAAAGCAAGACTTGTCAAAATGGTTAGGGAAAATGATGCATTGAAGAAGGAATTACAAGACATCAGGCCTATTGAGGAGATGCAGCAAGAAATCAATACGCTCACAAGACAATTGGAAAGGAAAGTGAATGAGCTAGCCAGGGTAAGAGGAAGTGCAGCTGAGACGGCACAGAACTTTGTTCAGAGGCTTAATCAACAAAATGAAGTCTTAGAGGAGTGGAAATCACTTTGCCTTGGTCAAACAGAAGAAACCAAAGAGTGGATGTTAAAATGTAGGCAGATAATTGATTTGGCTAATGACAAAATTCCAGAATTTGCAAGAGCATTTAAGCAAGCTGAAGGCATGGTTCTCCCTGGAGGAACTCCGTTAGAGATTGTTGAATTCTTCCATTTGTGCAATGAAATTGTAAAAGAACTCAATAGCGTGACAAAGTTCTAAATCTGTATTAACATTTGAATCATTGTATGAGGATCCATATGACGCTTTGTGGTTGTGAAATTGTTGATTGATTTGTACTACAATCATTGTCTTAAAACCTTGAATTTTGATAGGATCCAATGTCCTTCTAATTCAATAGTCAACTTTAAATCCCCTATGAAATAATAAATTTCTGGAGGAATTTAAAGGGTGCCAGTGTCGTGAAACCCTTATGTCTACACAATGCTGGATATCTTACAAAACAAACGTAAAGGTAAAACTTATTAAAATTAATTATCATATTACACAGGTAAGCCAACATTGCGCCTTGAAAGAAAAACTCGGTTGACCAGATTCCCGCCACTCAAGCATACAACACGCGATCGCGTAGTCGTGCAATGGAAAATTCAAACGTGAATGAGTCAGCGGCCTTAAATGATTGGATGGCTGTAGTGGAGTCTAAAATGGCCGAAATAAGTGACATGATGAAACTGCTAACAGAGGCTCTAAAAGGAAGGAGTGATGATAATCCACCACAGAATACCATAACAAATGAGAACATAGCTAACAGAATAATTGAACCAAACAGAGGATCAGATCCTAAGGTACCCACGCCAGAGAAACAAGATTCTGGGATAGGGGCCTTTAACGTACCAGATGGTCCTGGGGAAGATTATACCTACATGGTCCAAATCCCACAAGTGTTACATAAAGAGAAGGAGTTAAAAGAAGAACTTGGAGAGATGAAAGATCAATTGAAGACTCTTCAAGGATCGAACACGTGGGGTTCCTTAGACTTGAAAGAATTATGCTTGACCCCAGAAATTGATGTTCCCAAGAAATTCAAGATGCCAAACTTTGATAAATATGATGGTACAAGTAACCCAATTTATCATTTGAGGGCCTATTGCACAAAGATGTCCATATGGTCACAAGATGAGAAATTTTTAATAAACTTCTTTTCTGAAAGTTTAACTGGAGCTGCACTAACCTGGTACATGCAACTAGATCAAACCAAGATTAAAAGATGGAAAGACCTTGTGGATGTCTTCATGAGACAATACAAATTCAATCTTGATACTGCTCCAACTAGAGAACAATTGAAGGCGATAACTAAGAAATCATCAGAATCATTCAAAGAATATGCTCAACGATAGAGAATAGTGGCTTCACAAGTGCAACCTCCCATGGTGAATTCTGAACTTTGCTCATACTTCATCCGTGCACTGCCTAAGCCATTTTACCAACACATGATAGGAACACATGTCACTGATTTTGCTGATTTAATGGTGATTGGGGAAAGGATTGACATAGACATATGAGAAGGGAAGATAGCCACTTCTCAAGCTGAAAGTAGTTCACGTAAGAATTATGACCAAAAAAAGAAAGAAGGGAACGTGAACTATATTCAACCTGTAAGACAAGCAGCTACCAGTTCTCAAGTCCCTTATCAAATAGAAGGAAGGAATCAAAGACAGCAACAATTTGGGTTTAGACCTAACAAGCATGGACAGGATGGAGAGAGGAGAAATGTCCAATCCAGGGATAGTCGCCCATGGCCCAATTTTGGATTAACAAATGCTGAATTGTACCATAAACTTTTGACAGCCCAATTATTAGGTCCGCGGCCTTATAAGCCTCTTGGTCCGCCTTACCCGGCATGGTATAATTCAAATGTTGTTTGCGAATACCACATGGGTGCACCTGGATACTCAATAGAAGACTGTGTGACGTTTAAAAGGAATGTGCTAGACCTGGTTGATTCTAACCATATCCAGCTTAAAGAAGAGGGAAGCTCTACCCTTACTACTGATCCACTCCCAAATCATGAAAAATGAGTCAACGCTATTGAAGAAGAGGATGCGTGCTTCAAAAGCTCCGCAAGGATCAGGATGCCCATGAATGAGCTTTATGCTCACTTAAAGGAGTATGGCTATATGCGAGAAATGCTCCTTACGAATAATATTAGTGATCAAATGCCTGGATACTGTGAATATCATCAGGAGAAAATAGGCCATGACGTAGAAAGCTGTGAACAGTTTAAAGAAGCTGTTAGAAAAATGATGGCGTTAGGGATCGTGTCTGTAAAGAAGGGAGACGCTAAAGTGTGCATGGTAGAAAAAAAACAGATTGAGCTTGTCATTAAAAATTCAAGCCCAAAAGAGTGGGTCCAGGTAGTCTCTTTTATGATAAACAAAGCCTCTGTAGATCTTGCACCTCATGCAAGACAACCAACATTGACCATAAGCACGCCTCATCCCTTTCCCTATGAAAGTGATCGAGCAGTCCTGTGGAAATATCAAAGCATTGTGGGGAACCATAAAAAACCAACGTTGATTGCCGGGACAAGCAATGAAATGGCAAACCAAGGGGGTGTTACTCGAAGTGGAAAACCATACTTACCATCTTACATTAGGAAAATGGTAAAAGAGAAAAATGCAAGTATTGACAGGCCAAAGGAAGATAATCCTAAAGAAATGGAAAAATTAGAAGATGAGTTTTTATTGATTATGAAGCAAAGTGATTACAGCATTGTGGACCAATTGAAGAAAACTCCAGCACGTATCTCCATACTTTCTTTGATTTTGAATTCTGAAGCGCATCGCCAAGCATTACAAGAAGTGTTGAATCAAGCTTTTGTGCAGCCTAATATAACCCCTGAGAAGGTGGCAACTGTAATGAATGTTGTAAAAGCCTCCTCTACCATTTCCTTTTCGGAAGAGGAAGTTACAGAAATCGCTGTCTACCATTCCAAGGCTTTGCACATCACTTTGAAATGTGAAGGGTTCATAATCGCAAGAGTATTAATTGATGGAGGATCAGTGTTAAATGTCTTGCCGCTTTCCACATTTGAATCATTATCACTAGAAGCTTCAAGTGTACATAAAAGCAATATTGTGGTAAGAGCATTCGATGGATCAAGACGGGAAGTATTAGGATCCATTTATCTCTCCCTGGAGATAGGGCCTAGCAGGTTTAAGGTGGATTTCCAACTCATGAACATAGACCCAAGTTACATAATGTTGCTAGGAAGGCCATGGATTCATTCTGCTAGGGCTGTTCCTTCTACCCTACATCAAAAGGTTAAATTCATCAGTGATGAGAGAATTATAGCAGTTAAAGGAGAGGAGGAAATCATGGTGAGCAAACCAAGCTTACTCCCTTATATTGAGGCTGCAGAGAAAGATCATGGAGTTTCCTTTCAAAGCCTAGAGGTCGAGGGTATTTGCGATAGTACTCATAACATCAATTCCGTCGTGGCTAAAATCATGGCGAAGAGTGGGTTTATGCCAGGGAAAGGTTTAGGCTCTCATTTACAAGGAATTACGTGTCCAATTAAGGTTTTGGATAATTGTAATCGCCAAGGGTTAGGGTATGAGCCTACCCTAGAAGACCAGATGAAAGACAAAGTAAGTTTGGCAAAAGGCAAAAAGGCCAGTAAATTGGAGATTCCACACATTAAAGAATCCTTCCCAGGCCCGTCTGAGGTGATATATGAACCAACTATCTCAGTGATCTCTTTTAATGAAGATGTAGCATGTAGAACAAGTGCCTCAATTGCAGTCAATGATTCCAACAAAGTTCTGGCGAATTGGGAGTTTGAAGAGGCCAATGATATCATTAGCTTAGAGTAATTGTTTCAATTATGTTGTTCCTATTTTGTTATCTACTCTTTGAGCCCAGGTTTAGGTAATAGATCTTGGGTATTCTCTAATGCAAATTTTTGATACACATAATTCATGAAAATGAATTTCAATTGCATTCATGTCTATTTCTTTATTCCACCCTATCTACTTCAATACATTTTTCTCCGTTTCATTCCTGTTCCTTATTTTATCTCATTCCATATTCATTATCCAGGGATTTTATTTCTTCTGATTCTATCTCTCACCCAGAGATTAATAAACCCTGTGAAGATGATTCATTCGTTGCCACTGATATGCATGATTGTGAGTCTGATGATGAAGACATAATCCAAACTTTTTCTAAGATGCTTGAATTGAGTGATAAGGGAATACGCCCACATGAAGAAGTGATTGAGATGGTTAATATGGGAACCGAGGAGGATCAAAGAATGCTCAAAATAGTAGATAATCCTGAAAGGGAACAAACGATTGAGTTGTTTAAAGAATACATAGATGTGTTTGCATGGTTATATAAAGATATGCCTGGGCTAGACCCAAGCATTGCTTCTTATAAAATACCATTACTTCCCAAGGTCAAGCCTAAGAAATAGAAGTTAAGGGGAATGAACATGGGGGTGTCCTTGCAAATAAAAGAAGAAGTAATAAAGCAGTTAGAAGCAGGATTTTTGGAGGTAGTAACTTACCCACAATGGGTGGAAAATATTGTTCCTGTTCCTAAAAAAGATGGTCAGATTCGAATGTGTGTTGATTATCGTAATTTAAATAATGCGAGTCCGAAAGATGACTTTCCATTACCCCATATTGATGTATTGGTCGATAATACTGCTTGAAGCTATCGCTATTCCTTTATGGATGGTTATTCAGGGTACAATCAAATCCCCATGCATGAAAGGGATAAAGAGAAAACAACCTTTACAACCTAATGGGGAACTTATTGTTACCGGGTAATGCCTTTTGGTTTGAAAAATGCTGGGGCAACTTATCAACGAGCTATGGTAGCACTATTCCATGACATGATGCATAAAGAAATTGAAGTATATGTAGATAATATGGTAGCTAAATCAGCAGAGAATGAGAGTCATGTTGGAGTCCTTAGAAAGCTATTTGGGAGATTACGCGAATATCGGCTAAGATTGAATCCTAACAAATGCATTTTTGGAGCCCTTTCTGGGAAGTTATTGGGATTCATTGTGAGTCGTAAAGGGATAAAAGTAGATCCAGATAAAGTGAGGGCAATTCAAGAAATGCCATCTCCCTAAATAGAGAAAGAAGTTAGAAGTTTCTTGGGACAATTGAATTACATTGCTTGATTCATTGCCAATCTAACAGCCACTTGCGAACTAATGTTTAAGCTGTTAAAGAAAAATTGCAAGGAGACATGGGATGATGATTGTCAAAAAGCCTTTGATAAAATTAAAGATTATTTGTTAAATCCCCTGATTTTGGTCCCTCCATCACCAGATCGCCCACTAATCCTTTACCTAGCAACTTTACCTCACTCAATGGGAGCAATGCTAGGTCAACGTGATGATTCTGGAAAGAAGGAAAGAGCAATTTATTTCTTGAGCAAGAAGTTTAATGAGTGTGAAGCTCGTTATCCGGTGATTGAGCGAACTTGTTGTGGACTAGTATGGGCAACTAGAAGGCTAAGGCAATACATGCTTTACTACACTAACTGGCTAATCTCACGAGTGGACCCACTTAAGTACATCTTTGAGAGCCCGCACATTGCAGGAAGAGTACTAAAATGGCAAGTTGTACTATCAGAATATGATATAAAGCATGTGATGCAAAAGTCAGTCAAAGGTAGTGCAATAGTAGATCACTTGGCCGATAATCCTTTAGAGGATGACCAGCCATTAGATTTTCAATTTTCGGATGAAGGCATATGCACTACAGAAGAAGGTTGTGATGAAGGAAACAATGAAGAGCAAGAATGGGAAATGTATTTTGATGGAGCTGCCAACATGCATGGAAATGGGGTAGGAGCGGTGATCGTTTCACCAGAAGGAAAACAATTTCCAGTGGCCATCAAATTAGAATTTGATTGTACTAACAACATAGCAGAATATGAAGCTTGTGTTAATGGTCTTCGAGCAGCTATTACCCTTGGTATACGGTGTTTGAAGGTATTTGGTGATTCAGCTTTCATTATTCATCAAGTAACAGGAGAATGGAGAACAAAGGATGTAAAATTGATTCCCTATCAAGAACTCCTAACAGATTTGATTAAGTAATTTAAGGTTGCTAGCTTTCATCACTTGACTAGAGATAAAAACCGTTTCGCTGATGCTTTAGCCACTTTAGCAGCAATGATCCAACTTGATTGTGGAGTCCATGTCCAACCTATCCAAGTGGAAGCTAGAAGCTTTCCAGCGTACTGTCTGAATGTTGAAGAAGATCGAGAAGCATATCCTTGGTTCCAGGATATTAAGGATTATATCACTAAGAGATCATACCCAGCTGGAATGACTGAGAATGAAAAGAAAACCCTTCATCGTTTGGCTATGACATTCTTTATCAGTCAAGATGTTCTGTACAAGAGGGGTTATGATGGTACTTTACTTCGCTGTGTGAGCTCAAAAGAAGCAAAGAAAATCATGGTTGAGGTACATGAGGGCATATGTGGCACGCATGCGAATGGTCATACTATGACCAAACAGATTCAAAGGTGTGGCTACTTCTGGTTAACAATAGAGAAAGATTGCTTTGAATATGTCAAAAAATGCCACAAATGTCAGATCTATGCTAATAAGATAAATGCTCCTCCAATCCCATTACATAATTTGGTATCACCCTGGCCATTCTCAATGTGGGGAATTGACATTATTGGTCCAATTAACCCAAAAGCTTCGAATGGACATCGCTTCATCCTTGTTGTGATTGACTATTTCACAAAATGGGTAGAAGCAAATTCATTTGCTAGCATCACGCAAAAGATGTTCCTTAAATTCATGAAGACAAATATTTTATGCCGATATGGGATTCCTGAAAGGATCATTACTGATAATGGTCCCAATCTCAATGGAACGGAAGTCAGGAACTTTTGCGAGAAGTTCCAAATCAAGCATCATAATTCAGCCCCATATAGACCTCAAATGAATGGAGCAGTTGAAGCAGCCAATAAAAATATTAAGAAGATCATTGGAAAAATGACAGTAACTTATAAGGATTGGTATGAGATGCTTCCCTATGCTTTACATGGTTATCGTACTACTGCACGCACATCCACAGGGGTAACCCCATACTCCCTTATTTATGGAATAGAAGCTGTTACACCCATCGAGATGGAAATACCATCTTTAAGAGTATTGGCAGAGGTAGATTTAGAAGAAAATGAATGGATACGAACTCGATTTGAGCAACTTAACATGATTGAAGAGAAAAGGCTCATTGCAATGTGTCATGGATAATTGTACCAAAAGAGAATGGCAAGAGCTTTTGATAAAAAACTTCGCCCACGGGAATTCAGTGCTGGTGATCTCGTACTCAAGAAAATATTGCCTAACCAAGAAGATAATAGAGGCAAATGGGCTCCGACCTACGAGGGACCTTATGTTGTCAAACATGCCTTTTTTGGAGGAGCACTAATCCTAGCTGACATGGACGGTCAAGAGTTAGCAAAGCCCATTAATGTGGATGCTGTCAAGCGTTACTTTGCTTAAATAGAAAATGAAAAAGAATGAAGCGCTCGTTAGGTTGAAAACCTGTAAAGGCAACCTAGGAAAAAGTTAGAGCCAATGGAAAATGAAAAGGAAAGAATAGCTTGTTGGGTTAAAAAAAAAACCTGTAAAGGTAACCTAAGCAAAAGTTAGAGCTAAAAAAAAAAGGGGGGGCAAAGCCATGATAAGAAGAAGAAGAGTTCGCCAAGACAAAAGGATGTCTTCGGAGAAGAAAAGGAAGGCATCAAAAGTTAAGTATCTATGTTTGGGAAAGTTGACTCCATCGTCTCTCATATTATGCATATCAATAGCAGCTCAGTGAAGCACCTGTTGGGGTTTTGAAAAGCTAAAGGAAAGAGATGTGATTAAGTAAATCCATATATCCCATTTGCGCTTTGGCCATTTGTACTCATAAACCAAGATATCCCCATTTCTTTATGAATTTTAGCATCAGTGAATGAATTTTTTCCGCCCTTGCTCCTTTGAGACCATCTTTCTTCTCGTTTCGTGTTATCATATTCGAATACATATCTCATATATTACAGCAGGTTCGCATTCAAGGAACAATATTTATTGACACATTTACTTGACATAGAATGTTGGTATCTTTATTCTCGCCTTTCGCCCTTGAGGTATCAAGATCATTGCGTAGGGGTAAAATAATAATGAGAGCATGTGTGCTATCAGTGTTCGGTCATAATAGTTGATCTCATTAGCTTGAAGACAAGATCAAGTGACGAGAATTTGGTCATTGGAATTTTCTAAAGAGGAGCAACGGCATACTGTGATACTACACCTATTAATGAATATAAGGTTAAATAACGGACTTAGAAGTATTACCTTATGTTCGAAATGATTTATTCAATGTGCACAAAATTTTCAAAAGAGGATAAATATTAAGATAGTTTTCAACATTAAGCTTTCCAATAAAATTCTTGCAATACATTTGCATTATTCATACATTTGCATTGGGGCAAATAAGCGCGTCTTACCCTTTGCATTTATCACAAAAGGAAGTCTCATAAATTGAGACAAACAAAGGTTCAAACCTTTTACATTGCAAATCATCCATCCATGGTATATTGTACATATTTTCAGCACTTATGAAAATCATACACGGCGCATTACCACATTGCATCCCTTGTCATAGAAACACGCCGCATTTGGATTGGGGCAAAATGACATAGAAAAAAAACAAAAACAAACAACAACAACAACAACATAAAAAAATTTTTAGGAAGTAAGAAAAGAAATAACGAACCTCACCTGTAAGTTTCTCATATCTTCCACGTGAAATAAAACCTATTCTCACCCCCCAAAGCCCTGTAACGACAGGCACCTTAAAGCCCAGTACCGGCTGGCATAATTCTTTAAAGCCTTGTCACGGCAGGCACCCCAAAGCCCAGTACCGGCTGGCATGATTCTTTAAAGCCCTGTAACGACAGGCACCCTTAAAGCCCTATCACATCAGGCAACCCAAAGCCCAGTACCGGCTGGCACGATTCTTTAAAGCCCTGTAACGACAGGCACCCCAAAGCCCTGTCACGGCAGGCAACCCAAAAGCCTAGTACCGGCTGGCATAATTCTTTAAAGCCCTGTAACGCCAGGCACCCTTAAAGCCTTGTCACGTCAGGCAACCCAAAGCCCAGTACCGGCTGGCATGATTCTTTAAAGCCCTGTAACGGCAGGCACCCTAAAGTCCTGTTACGGCAGGCACCCCAAAGCCCTGTCACGGCAGGCAACCCAAAGCCCAGTATCGGCTGACACAATTCTTTAAAAGCCCTATCACGACAGGCACCCTAAAGCCCAGTACTGGCTGGCACAATTCTTTAAAAGCCCTATCACAGTAGGCACCCCAAAGCCCAGTACCGGCTGGCACAATTCTTTAAAGCCCTATCATGGCAGGCACCCTTCAAGCCTTGTAAAGG